AAAAATCCCAAGAATATAGGGATTCTGCTATTTTCCCCTATTGAATTAGAAATCTTTCCCTCTGCTTCTTATCTATTCTTCTCTTTCGCTCGCAAATCGACACGATGATCGATCCATTGTTGAACAAATTTTTTTTATCGATTAAAAATGAAAAGTAAAAGGGATTAAAGGAATGTTCCACTTATCAGGTAATCTTTATTTCTTAGAAGAATATTTCAACTTTTTCTATAGCATTGTTAGGTTAATTTTGAGTTGGATTTACTTTCAAACTTATATCTATTAAATATCTACTGCCAAAAACATTATGAATTTACCAATTTACCAACCTATTTAATTATTCTTATTATTACAAGTATCTTTTAACAATTATCAGACAATAATAAAGTCAAACTGTGACATTAAGACCTTACAGTTGTTTTGTACAACAAAGTAACAGTGCAAATTTACAGTGTTAGGTTAATCCTATGAGTATCTTCCGGTGTAAGAGGATTAAAATGGCGATCGATCATCGGTGTTACGAGATTTAAAAGCATATACGAATTGATATCTACTTTGGACACTGGTGTGTCTAAATGTTTACGAGTAATTGAAAGGAAGGTAATGGAAAATATTTTTTAATGGAACGAAAAACGAGAATTTTAGGAAACACGTAGAAACGAAATATAATTTCAATTTTAAGATAATATCCTCATTGGTAACAATAGCTTCGAGTAATGTAAAATTTATAAAATCTCGAGAATTGTTTGTTATTAATTAAAAAACTTGAATAATGGTCAGTGAAAGAGAGATAATTGCACGCACAAATCACTCTCATCCGTTCCTCCAATCACGTTTCTCTGATTGAAGATTGGACGTGAGATAGATTATATATTGTTAAAAAAAAATTTTTTGATAATTAAAATTTTCTTTTAATTTATATATATATAAAATATATTTGAATTAACGTTTATGTTTCAGAGTAGAAAAACTATGATACAATTTCTTTTATGTCCAATCTCCAATTGTAAAACGCAATTTTCGATTTAATAATTGAAGTTGAGGTAAAATTAGCGAATAAGATATTGCACGTGAAATTATTATCTTCGTACGATTCAGGATTCCCTCGTATACCACTCTCAACCTATGAAAATTTATTAGATATTAGATATCAATAATCGTAATTGGGAATATTCTGATTCCACAAGAGAATCGAGGAACGGATGAAACTTGATTAATCGACACGAATATATTTGATAATTAATGAGATACGATGGAGAGAACAAATTTTGCAAACAAAGTATATGCGCGTGAACGATTTTGAACGA